TTTTAAAAGATCTGTTAATGCCAGTAGTTTTTGTTTACCAGAGTCATCCATTTTTTAAAGAAATTGAAGCCTTTTCTTCAAAAAAGTAAATATAGAGGCCAGCAGCTGGTGTAATGGCTATGTCACTGGACTCCCACGTAGTCAACTGCAGTTCAAGTACTGGACCCAGTGACTTAAAACTCACACTGGGCACATGTGCATGTGTGTCCAAGATCCCAAGAGGAGAATGGAGGAGAACGGATTGAGGTATGCCCACCCTCCCCTGAGGGGTGATTTCTTCCACCCTGGCTCTCTGTCTTTCTGGTGAGCACACGTACCCTATAGCAAAAACCTCTCCAAAAAAAAAAGTAAATATAAGAAGTGGAATCGGGGGCCAGCCGGTGGTGTGATGGTTAAAGGCATTGAACTCCCACATGGGCGACCACGGTTCAGGTCCCGGATCTGGCAGCTTGCTTTCTTACTCTCTCTCTCTATCTCTTCTGATCAAATTAAAATAAAAAAAATAATAATAAACTTAAATTAAAAGTATTTTTTAAAAAAGATATGGAATCAAAACTATTTCACAATGCTCTTTTCTTTTTTGTCTTTAATTTTGTCAGAGGGTGCATGCACTCACTGGAGAAAAACTCAAAGAGAGAGAGAGGGAAAGTGAGAAAGCACCCTCCACACAGGGAACTGCCACACACACTGCTGTCCTCCTCTCCATCTCTCCCTCCTTTCAGGATTTTGGGCATGCATACACACATGCTTGGAGTGATTTTCAAGCTTCCAGGTCCAGGACTTGAATTGTGTACTTGGCCATGTGGGATCCAGCTGCCTTAGCCACTGCACCACTGAATGGCCTGGCAGTGCTGTTATAAACATTTATCTTTTTCTTCCTGTTATTTGGCCCCTGTTCATTCACCAGTACCTAGACACTGTAATCCCCTTCTTCCCCTGATGATTTTCATAATATGCTCCAAGAAAAAGGTAAGTCTAGATTCAGTGGCAGTGTCTCGAAGCAGTTATCTGCTTAACAATACAGTTGGAATCCTGGTGGAATGGTACATTGGAAAGAGTTCCATTTGGGACCCTCAAAGTCTGGTTCCAGTTACAAGTAAGGCTAAAGGCATGGGTGACATGGTTCAGGTTTTCGTGTCTTCATTTTTAAATTAAGAATAATTTTATGTTGTCTCTGACTTCCCACATCTATAAAATATTAAGTATACAAATAATTGGTTCATAAATATTTACAGATATCCTTAACCACAAATCACTAGTAAGTTAAATAGATGTTGATACAACATAATAAAACTTAAAAATTGGTTAAAGAAACAGTTAGTTGACTTCCAGAATTAGATATTTTAATCAGACACTTTTACCATCTCCACACTTATTTAAAAGTCTTTATTTTGTAATTATTAGAATACTTTATGAATAAATTTGATGTCATGCAAGTTATTTTAGAGTTTCCTAAGCTTTATGAATAAATTTGATGTCATGCAAGTTAAGTTAGAGTTTTCTAAAAACTAAAATAGTTTTAGTTTGTTCTTGTGAAAAATAATAAAGTATATATTTAAATCTCCCTACAAGTTTTATTTTTATTTTTTTTTGTAATTAAGAATGGTCTGAAAAAACCACCATGGCTTCCAGAATAGCCTAATTCACACCAACGAGAAATTCTACTTTTTTTTTCCTTTCAGGAACTGTGTATTAAAATATACTTATTAAAATTATGCTATTTGTATAATAAATACATTCTTTTTGAATTTTCATTTTCCTAAGTGTAGGTCCTATTCTCAGTTCTAAAGAACCTAAAAGAATCACAATCATTATAAAATTGTAATACTACCACATATCAGACTATTTGATCAAGTTCTTCAGAAAGACTTCTTTTAAAGTTCTTCAACACAGGAGAACCAGCAGTTAGCGTAATGGCTATGTCGCTGGACTCCCACGTAGTCCACCGCGGTTCGTGTCCCGGACCCGGTGGCTTGAAACTCACGCCGGGCACGTGTGCATGCATGCCCAAGATCCCAAGAGGAGAATGGAGGAGAAGGGATTGTGGTGTGACCATCTCCCCTGAGGGGTGATTTCTCGCTTTCTGTCTCTGTGTCTCTCTCTGTCTGTCTGGCGAGCACACGCGCCCTATAGCGAAAATCTCTCTCAAAAAAAAAGTTCTTCAACACAGTAAAGGCCATATATGACCAACTCACAACTACAATCAACCTCAACAATGAAAAGGTGAATGTTTTTCCTCTAAGATCAGGAATAAGATAAAGATATTCACTCTTACTACTTCTTTTCACATAGAACTGGAAAAGTCCATCCAGGACAAATAAACAAGGGGGTGGGAGGGACAGGAACTAAGTCAAGAAGGAAAAAGTAAAATTATCTGTTTGCAGATGACATGATCATGTATGTACAAACTTACAGAGACTCCATCAAAAAATGTTAGAACTCATAAATGAATTTAGTACTTCCAGAGTACAGAGTCAACATACAAAAACAGTAGCAACAGGCTATCTGTACAGAAACTAAGGAAATAATTCCATTTACAATAACATTTCAAAAATTCTTCTAAGTAAATTTAACCAAGAAAAAGATCTGCATGCTGAAAACTATAAAATGTTAATGAAAATTGAAGATGCTACAAATAAATGGAAAGATAGCCCATGTTCCCAAATCAGAAAAGTTAATATTGTTAATATGCCCATACTACCCAAAGTGATCTACAGGTTTCATCAAAATTCCAATGTCATACTTCAAGAAAAAACAATCTTAAAATTTATATGGAATCACAAAAGTCCCTGAATAGCCAAAGGATCTTTAGTAAAAAGAACAAAGCTGGAGACATCACAATACCTGATTTCAAAACACATTACAAAACTAGAGTAGTCGAACCAGCATAACAGCAGCACGAAAATAGACACATCAACAGTCACAGGTTCTAATCTACAGAACAAGATAGAAAGCCCAGAAGTAAATCCAAATACTTGTGCTAGATTGATTTTTACCAGAGGTGCCAAGAACATAGAAGGAAGAAATAATTGTCTGCTGACAAGTGGTCTTGGAAAAACTGGATATTCACATGCAAAAGAAAGAAATTAGATCCTTATCTCATACCATATAAAAAACCAGCTCAAAATGATTAAAGACTTAGATCTAAAACCTAAAACTATAAATCTAATGGAAGAAAACATAGAGGGAAATCTCCATGAAATTGATCTGGACATTGACTTCTTGGATATGAGCCTAAAAACACAGACAACAAAAACAAAAATAGAGAAGTAGGATTTCATCAAAAACATTGGCACACAAATGAAACAGAGTAAAGAGACAACCTACAGATTTGGAAAAAATATTTGCAAGCCATATATATGATAAGGGGTTAAAATCCAAAATATATAAGGAATGGAAGCAGCACAGTAATAAGAAAACAAATAACCCAATTAAAAAGTGAGAAAAGGACATGAATAGTCATTTCTCAAAACAAGACATATGAATGGCTGATGTATTAAAAATTCTTACACATCATTAATCTTTAGGGAAATGCAAATTAAAACAACAATAAGATAACACTTCATACCTGTTATAATGACTATTATCAAAAAGATGAACGTGTATAGTGGCAAGAATGTGGAGAAAAGAGAAACCTTGTACAATATTGATGGGAATAGAAATTAGTACAGTCATTTTGTAAAACAGTATGTAAGTTCCACAAAAAATAAAAATTAGACTACCATATTATCCAACAATCCTACTTCTGTATGTATTGTATATCTGAAAATAATTAAACCAGTATATGAAAGAGATAACTGCACTCCTATGTTTTTTGTAGCATCATTTCCAATAGCCAAGGTATAGAATCAACCTAAGCTAATGGAGGAACAGATGAAGGAAATTGTGTGTGTGTGTCTGTCGATATACAATGGGATATTAATCAACCTTTAAAAACAAGAAAATTTTATTACTTGTGCAATATAATGTACAATGAGCCTGAAAGGCATTATGCTAAATGAAATAAACTAGGCTCAAAAAGATAAACACTGCATTATCTCACTTGTATATGGAATCTGAAAAAGGTAAATCCATAGGAGTGGAGGACAATAGTGGTTAAAGAGGCCTGGGGTAGGAGTGAGGGGATGGGGAAGAGCAGATGTTAGTTAAAGGGTTCAAAGTTTCTATTTGGCAAGAGGAGTACATTCTAGTGATCTGCTTCTCGAAAAAGTGTCTGTAGTTAAAAATACTTGACTGTGTTTCAAAATAATGAACAAAGTAGATTTTAAAAGTTCTCACCACAAAGAAATGGTCGTGTCTGTAGTTAAAAATACTTGACTGTGTTTCAAAATAATGAACAAAGTAGAATTTAAATGTTCTTACCACAAAGAAATGGTAAGTATATGAGATGATGATCATGTTCATCAGTTTCATTTAATCATTCCACAAGGTAAACACATAGCATAACATCACATTGAACCCCACAAATACATATGATTATCTACCTATTAAACACTTTTCTTTCCATGGAATTTGTGTTGTCTTTCTGGGGATCTATTTCCTTTTTTCCTTCTTAACATATATACAAGAGGAAACCAACATTTATCAGTCAATATTCATTTCTGTTATACATAATAAGTAAGGCATAAAGAAATGGAATTTCAGTATATGTCCTCCAAGGATAATAAACTGTACTTCATTGTTGTTTAACAACTTGGAAAATAAAGAATGTTTAAAATGCAGGAAGGAACTTCTTATCAACAACACATTTCATTTAATAAAGTCAAACTATGCCATAGATGCAGCACATCTAGCAAAACAAAACAAAACAAGACAGGAACAATTTATTGATGGAATGAACTAATACAAAATATATAAATTGCCCTTGCCTTTGAAACTGAGATCATAATTATTTTCATAGTCAACTGAGGAGTGATTAACATTTAAGTACAAAGGTTATTTAACATTTACGCAAGAAGGTTTTTCCATGAGTTACTTTGAATTTATAGGATCGTCCTTACCAGCATTTCTTTCGAAGCTGTGTTTTATGGAAGAGAAGCTGTTCAAGCACAGTGTTCAACTGAGAACTATTACTCTGAACGCAGGACCAAGCAGCCACACAGTGCCAGAGCAGGTGGCTAACTTCATATCCTCCCTGATTTAATGGTAAACGTTCCTGGAATTGAAATACAAAAATAGGTCTGGGGAAGAGTTCTTTGACTTCAACAGACATGAAAAAAAATGTAAACATACACGTGTAAGTGTGTTTCTCTTCCTTCATGTTTCACCAAGTGGATCAATTTACTTATTTCTATAAATTTATATGTTAACCTGAATCTAAAGTAATGAGCCCCTTGTTTTCAATGACATCAGCTCTATTATAAGATGAAAGTTTTTCATCCTCTCAGGGATAACTGCTAGATACAACTGTGCTCTTAGACTCTATATAACTTAATTTTTTACGACACTCGAGAAAGAAGGGACAGGGGAAAGCTTGTACAAAGCTCTAACAGTAAACTAGGTTGTGAAATGTAGAGCTCAGGGCCAGCAGGTGGTTAAGGGAGTTGAACTACCGCATGGCCAACTGTGGTTCAAGTCCCAGACCAAGCAGCTTGCTTTCTCACTTTCTCTCTTTCTCTTCCCCACCCCACTATGTCCAAATTAAAATAAACACAAATTAAAGTTAAATAATTCTTTTAAAAATGTAGAATTCTACTTTAAAGACCAAAATATGTCCTTAGCAGGTTACTGTCACTCTCTGTTAAGTAATCGTTTTAGAAGCCTACAAATTCAGGTAACATGAGGGCTGCTGTTCGTTTCACTTTAGAGTGCTTTCTAACAGTTTCACAGATTGAATCATTCTACAGTAATTGGTTGACAATGATGACAGCACTCTCATTGAGTTTTGTCTACAGTAAAGATTCAAATACACATCTCAAATTGCTAAGTTAGTTGATATTTTGTGTTTCACTTCTTTTTTTCTTTTTTCTTTTTTTTTTTTCACTTGCTAGGTGGCACATGCACAGAGGGACAGAGAAAGAGGGAGAGAGGGAAAGGGAGAAAGTACCCTCCAATGGAGCGTGGTTGTGCCTCAATCCCTGAATCCCTTCTCCTCCACCCAATCCTTTCTCCATCCTTTTGGAGTTTTGGGTGTGAGTACATGCACACAAATGCCCGGCGTGTGTGGTTTTCTTTTTTTTGTTTCAATTTATTTATTTGCATTCATTCACTGTACATCATTACAGCATACAAAATGAGATTTTCCATCCAGAGTACACTGCATATTGTCTCAGTCAAGCACATCAACAAACATGTTATTGTCAGCAGATGATCTTCATTCCTTCACTGTACATCATTGCAGCATACAAAATGAGATTTTCCATCCAGAGTACACTGCATATTGTCTCAGTCAAGCACATCAACAAACATGTTATTGTCAGCAGATGATCTTCCATTTCTTGTTTTCTGTATGCTTAGCTTTTTTCCCCCCATACTTGGTTCCCTATCTCTTACCCTCTGCCATCTCCCACTCTCCTCTGGTATCTATGTTTGCTTTCTATACTGTTTTCCCCCCACATTTTATTGAATCACCAAAAGACCTTAATTAATCCAAATACCCTCATAGCAAACACAGGTGACACACACCTTTCCATGAACACAACTCTAACTTTACGCATCCTATAAAGTAGCACCTAGCTGGGGCTACATATCCTACTGCAGTCATTGAATAGATATATCTTTTTCCTGAAACTTTTTTTTTGTAACTCAGTTTACATTCCTTCCCTAAGCATCATCACAGCACACAAAATGTGATCTCCCATCCAGTACACAATGCATAGTGACTCAATCATGCACATTACAAAAAATTTTCCATTTCTAGTTCCTAGAATTATTTCCACCCCTCTTTCTGACCCTCTGTCCCTTCCCACCCTCCTCTCACACCACCTCCGGTGTCCACAATTGTCCTTCATTCCCTTCCCACCCACATTGCATTGATCACACAATTTCCTACATAATCTAACTACTTTCAATGGTGAGTTCACTCATTACTATGAAGAAAATCAGTTTTAACTTAAATCAAAGAAATGCCAAGGAACTTTGCTTAAAGCCAGGAAACAGGTGAGGATTCTGTCCAAATGGTAGGTGCATGAGCCTATCAGTCTCATGTACTATTATCTTCTGTTCTGGTTCAATTTTCCTGATTAAATTCTGGGATATA